CCTGTGGGCTGACTCGATTAAGGGTCATTTTAAAGGTCTTTTCAATTTCCACATAAAGTATCCTTTTGCCAACCTAGCTTGGCCTGCGTTATAATTTTCGTCTCAAGTTTCTAAGTCTTTTGGCTCATTTTGTCCGAAAACGGTTCTTCTGCCTGGATGGTGATGTTCCTCATTTTTTGTACTTGATTATTGCAATAGGCTTTAGTCGAAGTGATCAGCAAATATCATCATCATCATCACTTCCTTGAGATCTTGACAGAAGTCACTAGACTGGTAGTGGAGCGTGTTAACTCTGTCCAGGTTCCTGCCCCCATGGATACCTTGACTAAATTTCTGTACTTGTGAGAGGGGACTGAGCTGAGCGATTTACTGTTAGCCGTTCCTATGGATACCTTGACTAAATTTCTCTACTTGTGAGAAGGGACTGAGCTGAGCGCTTTACTGTTAACCATGGCTTCGTTTATACTGTTATTATGTTAGAGATTTAGAATGAAACTTATTGAATAGTTCAATGTTTGTGGACACGATTGTTACCCAATGAAAGAAGAAGATCATCCTTTCTTGAATCAAATTAAATCAAATCGAAAATTATAAAATAAATATGAAATTGCTGCTGGCTTTTTTCTTATTGAATTACAAATCAACTTGATTTTAAGACGCTAGATGTCCTTTTCATCTGTTTATAATTTTATTTTTTATTTTAAGTATAGGAATTCTTGTAGAGAGTTTACTCTAAACATTTTCATTTTTTTCTTAACTGCTTAGACTTTTAGACCCTAATTATTCATCTTGATCTGACCATCTGAATGGGAGTTTAAGATAAACTCAAAGAGTTGTTAGAAAGTTCGTACAAAATTTTCGAATTGTTACATAAACTACCATTTTAATCTGACAAAAATATTTCATTCTGCAACAGAACGTAGAAAATGATATGTTAAAAGTTAGAGAGCAGTTACTTCCACTCTAAAAGAACAGAAGTTGATTAAAACTCACTTGCAACATGTCTGCTTGATAGCATGCGAAAAACAAATCCTGTATGAAAAAAAAATAGAAATAATAAACCTCAAAACACTAAAAGCAAACCTTAAGAAGTGTAATCGAATAAGTGTAAATATTGTAAAGTTTGCATACTGTTGAATTTAATGTGTATAGTTTGGTCAGAGGGAAATAAAATGATATCAAATGTTGGTTGTGTATCAAATATTTTCATCCTGTAACTGCCATTAAATAGCCGATTTTGCTCAAAGAGAGATTAGTAAGATACTCTGGGAATCCTTAGCGGTCCTAAGCCGCTTTGAACGAGCTAGATCGCATGATGTAAATGACCCGACGCATCTCATTATTTCAGATTTTAAATATTTACACAGAACGACATTATCGTGCAGATTGATCTCTGGAATCTGACTGAGCCTGTGAAGTCTCAGCTTTAGCTTAGTGATCTTCCAGATACAAATAAAGAATAGCTTGTTGAAAGATATGTTAGAAGGATCGTGACATAACTTAGAACGCTTTTGAGAAAGGAAATTTCTTCAAGTGCTCGAACAGGTAATTTTAGCTCCGCTTTGAAACATTGCTGTTTGAAAAGTGCTGTAGTTGACCCTTTCCAGAAAACTTGAAAGGAAACCCTTTGTGATCATGAGCTATTTAATCAAATTAAAGAATTTTTCTCTTTAAATATTTTTCTCTTTTGTACTTTATCTTAAAAACATAAAATTCGATGCAAATCTAGCGTGCATGCCTCAGGAATATATCTTGAGGTCTTTTAAAAGCCCACCCAATCTTCAGCCCAAGGTCGTCTTGGCCTCTTGTCAGCGGTTTGGTAGCCAAATAATGACCTTTAGGAGAATGGAATTTTTTTCCCAGAAACCGTGGGATTCCGGCTTTAACTGCGCATGTCTTCATTGTTAGTTGTTGCTTCCGGTTGACTTCTGCGCATGCTTAAATTAGAGTACACGGTTCGCTACGCCACCGAAAGAAGAGAAGAACGTAAATTACTGTTGTGTACGTGAACATAAGAATCATCGTAATAAATAGAAAGTGTGATTTATAAACCAGTAGAAAATACCGAGATTTTTTTTCATTATGTCCTCCGGTGCTCCTGGAAATGTGGAAGTGAAAGAGAAAAGGGATAAGTGATGGCATTTTACGCAGCTTTTACGCTGTTTTCAGTTCTCGCGCGGGGTAAATCGATTGCAAGCTAGTTAGTAGAGATGGACTTTGAGCAAGCAGTTTCATCTTCTTTTAGAGAATTGAGTTCAGAGGAAATGAAAAAGGAACAACGCCAAACTTTAGAGGCGATTGGTTTAGATTTAAGAGAAGTCCTCCTGCCTCTACTCCTGATTCAAAAGCTGCTGATGGAGCAGGTGACTGCACTTGAACCGGGATGACTACAAAACAAAGAAACACAGCAATGTTTTGAAACTCTTATAAAAACACCCATTCCGCCGCCTCTAACATGCGACATACCTTAGACATCTTTCCTAACCTTTCCTTGATATACTTAACAATGAAAAAATGACAAACAAGTTTCTTTTGATACTAATTTAATATTTTCCTGTTTGACATATTATCTTTTGACCTTTTGAAATGTACTTTTTTATTATTTCCATGTGAGAATAAAACTATTTAACAACTATTAAATGTGCTGTGCACTTGTTCCAAAATAACTTTGGGAAGCAAAATTTAAAATTGTTACCTGACGTGTTACATTTTGTAACATTTTGAGACTATTACTTGACCCTGAGTTTACTGAAAACACATGCATATAAATTAAATACCCACATCCCTCCTTAAGGTAAAAAGAAAAAGAGAAGCAACGAATATAATTTGAACCTTGAAAACATCACAAGCTTTGAGTTTGCTCTTGCTTCTTTATTTTATACGATTCAGTATGCTGAATCAAGCTAGGGATTAGTTGTTTTTTATGGAGAGAAAAAAAAATGTGGAGGGTTCACATTTTGCAATTTTTATGCTTGTGATGTTTCAAGGTTAAATTTATATCAGTGATTCACTAAAAAGAAAGACAAATTAAAAATGGTCTTTCCTTTGGTCTGTTACAAATTTTAGCTCGTCTTATTTTTTAAATATCGCTGTTATAAGGATAAGGATGATGGTAATGAGTATCTGGAAAAGGTTCAGCTCTCAGCATTGGGTATTCATCACATAACTATATATCACACATACAAGAAGTGCTGGACTTCCATCTTCTTGTACAACAGTACACTCAAAAATCAAGCAAGTCAGGAGCTCAAACTACCATTTCTTTATTAAGCTCCTCCAACTGAAATGGTACTATTCCTTGTTACATGTAAGATATAAAAGCCAGTAGTTCCAGGTTTCTGTACACATAAGCTTCTATATTGTTCATCAAAATCTCCTCTAGAAACTGAAATTTGGTACATGCTTTGACACCACAACTAGGTAACAAAATAATAAGTTTAGCTTTTGCAGCTGGAAGGCTTGTCTACGATACAACCCATAGCATATATACTTCAACCCTTCACGATTCAGTCTTTGCATGTTCTATCAATTGAATATAAAACAAAATGTAACTCTCTATATATTGATAAATATTTTCATATTGAATGAGTTAAACTCTGTTGAATGTTTTGTGATCATAGTAAATTGGACAAAAATATATTGGCATGGAATTTTGAATGACACACATGTATATTGTAATTGTGAAAAAAAAAAAAAATGCTAATCACAAACCAGCTGTAAATGTAGCTTCATATAAAACCCTTCATACTTAGGTATCTCAGGATTTCTGGCCAGCGTTCTCAAGTATTTTAATCCCGGTTGATTGCTTGGTTAAATTAGTGTTACGAAGTATATAGGTGACAGAAATGAAGGATTTAATTTGTCGTAAGATTCATAAATAAATACGAAAGGATTAACTCTGCGTTTCCATCAGAAGTGTTTTCTTGGAGTACTCGAGACGTGGGTATAATGGACTGAAATTTTAAATCGTTTACTTGCGGTAAAG